TAGACAGTTACCCTCTCCCTCCGAGACCTACCATAGACAGTTACCCTCTCCCTCCGAGACCTACCATAGACAGTTACCCTCTCCCTCCGAGACCTACCATAGACAGTTACCCTTCTCTCTCCGAGACCTACCATAGACAACACACTCTATGGAACATTACAGCAACTGCAGCAAACCTGCACGTATTAGCGCTCATAAGACCTTATGCAGTTGTGAGCGCCGTAAAGCCTCAACTAAAACAAACAAAACCTGCACTTATCACTACATGGCATTGGACAGAAGGGCCAGAGCCCAGCTGTTGCTGGATTGATAATAACAACAATAACAACAAGAACATTTCCGTCAAACCCTAAATAGTATAATCGGGGCGTAACTTTCCCCCTAAAACCGACCTTGCACACATTTGGACAGATCTCTGAGGTTGAAGACGTAGTGAGATTTGGCCGGCGTGGGCAGGAGATCGGAACTCATGCGGAAGTACAGCTCTACCGCCGCACCGACGATCGCCTCGGCGCACTGGCGAACCACGTGAGGGAAGTCCATGAGGAACCCGTTCAGGATGGACTGAGGGAAGGAGGGAGGTATAAATGGTGACATGGGTGAGGGTTTGGTGAATGAGAGAGGGAGGGTGTGTGAGTGTGTGAGTTTGAGGTGTTTTGGGGGGGGGGTTTGTGTGAGTGTTTTTGTGTATGTGTGTGTGTGTGTGTATGTGTGTGTGTGTGTGTGTGTGTGTGTGTGTGTGTGTGTGTTTTTTTCGGTGTTGTTGTTGTTTTTGTTTTTGGTTGTTGTTTTTTGGGGGGGGGGGGGGTTTGTGTGAGACAGAGAGCTGTATAAATGCAATCTATCATTATTAATATCGTTATTATTTTTATCATTATAACTAGTAGTAGTAGTAGTAGTAGTAATAGTAGTAGTAGTAGTAGTAGTAGTAGTAGTAGTAGTAGTAGTAGTAGTAGTAGTAGTAGTAGTAGTAGTAGTAGATAGTAGTAGTAGTATTTTTTTTTCATTATTAGCATCATCATCATATCTATATTTCTCTCCCTTTGTCAGACCCATCACTATGGACGCTTATCTGGAGCACTTCGTCACTCATGTCGGTGGTTGTGGAACCTTCCAGTGGCTCCTGGGAGCCGTCATATACCTCATCAATATGGCTTCCATGTTTAGTTTGCTGTCAATGTCATTCTGTATTATGGATCCTGGATGGAAATGCGCAGACGGTTAGTTGCTGTATCTCTTTTTTAGTTTATATTATGTAGAATCGGTACGATTTATATGTCACTTGCAACATAAAAAGGACATACGAGTGCTGAAGATTAGAAGTGTTACTACTAGAGAGTATCATACGAAAAAAAGGAGTAAGAGAGATAGTTGCAGTATTTTATTTTAGGTTAGTATCGGTAAGACTTATACCAAAGATTATCTACTACTAGACCTAGTACATAATCTTTGTAGATACGGCACTTGTAGCATAGATAGGTCACAGAAGTGTAGGAGATTAGAAGTGTTACTTCTAAAGAGTGACATACGGGAAAAAGGATTAAGAGAGATTGTTGCTGTATTTGATTTTAGGTTAGTATCGGTAAGAGTTTACGGCACTTGCAGTATAAATAGATCACATGAATTCAGGAGTGTGAATTCTAGAGGATTAGATCTATACCACCAAAAAAAAAAAAAAAAAAGGGAGTAAGAGAGAATGTTGCTGTATTTGATTTTCGGTTAGTATCAGTTAAGAGTTATACGGCACTTGTAACATAAATAGGCCATAGAGGGCTGAAGATTAGAAGTATTACTCCTAGAGAGTGACATACGAGGTGAAGGAGGAAGTGAGATAAGGACAATGGATGTTTGAAAGGGAGAAAAAGAAGCAAACCATACCGGAACACCCGCCGTCCACCCACCATGTGTTCTCATACATAGTATGTAATCTGATTATTATATTTGTGAAAGTTCGTCACTTTTTCCGCCTAAAACTTAGGAACAACTTAACTTTCCAATTTGACAAAATTATTGGTGGTTCAGAATCATTTAGAGGGTGCACAGTTTTATTGAGGAGCCTGAAGTCAGTGCAGTTTAAAATTCAACATTTCATTAGTTAAGTTTAGATCTAATCTTATGAAAGTCCGTCTTCTAAGACGCCATTGTAAACAAGTGAAGTTTCCGTTCAATAGCCGTGCGCACTGTTTCCACACCTTTGAAATTCTGGAGTGTGCAACCTCGGAAGCCGAACAGAGAATCAATCTATACTTCACTATATTATCTAAACCTTCTAATTTTTTGCATCTCTCAGGATTTATTGCTCCATTCCAGTAGAGTGTAAATATGGTAGGCCAAAGACTTTCAGTTGATGTTAATGCACCGATCATTCCTTTCAACGAAAGGAGGCCCAGCTGGCACGGTAGATTTACATTGATAATGTTTGTTGAGAAGAAAGTTACCACCTATCGTCGACAGTAATATATTTTGCTATGGAGAAAATTGCCTTTTTTTTTTTTTTTTTACAGCATCTTGATGTCAATGTATACATGTATTGAAACGTGCGCAGGTTAATTAATAATAATTAGTTAATTCTTTCTTCTGTAGATGCAATCTTGGCCAAAACACCGAAACGCTTATTAATTAAGTTACGATCTTATTCCTTACTGGTTATGACTTAAATTAGTCTGAAAAAAATGTAGATTCTTTTGTGCCCCCCCCCCCCCTCAATCGCCAAAGTTTAGATCATTTTGTAGGCGGGCTGTTTCAGCCCTTCCTGTCTGGGCAGCCTCTGCTGAGAGGGACCCAACGCTCCAGCAGACATTTTGAGGTACTAAGACCATGAGGTCAAAAACCATAGTATGTTCTGTCTGCTATATCAAAATCGTAAGATTACTCGGAGTCGTTACCAAGATATTCAAAGAATTGTAATTAAAGAAGCTTGACGTTCTGTAAAACTCAACATTTTTTACGTCAAGCTTTTCAAAAGTAGGTACTTAGTATATAGAATTTTGTAAATTCTAGGGTAGCGATTCAATAGAAAACCTTACCACAAGGGAATTGAACTAATGTCTTCCGCATGCATAACAGACTGAAATTCTGGAGCAGAATTATTAGCCTTTGGCTAAATCAACGTTTTTCTGAAGTGGTCCAATATTGTCTGAAAGAGTGCTTTTCATGTAAGGTACAATCATTTCAATATTGTGTGAAAGAATGCTTTTGGTGTAAGGTATAATCATTTCAATATTGTGTGAAAGAATGCTTTTGATGTAAGGTATAATAATTCCTGGTTCTTTTCCTATAGGATCCCAAACGTTCGGAAATTCTACCACAGAGCTAGCGTACACCACTACAACATACACGTCATCTTACTTCTGGAACAACACCACTGTCTCTGCCGAGGTCACACGCCATGCAGACGATGACAGGGACGTTTGTGACGTGGCAAAGTCCTGCCAGAACATCACATTCAACCCGGAGGCATCAACGCTCATCTCTGAGTGGGGTCTCATCTGTGACAAGTCCTGGTACGTTTCTGTTGTCATTTCCGTGCAGATGGCCGGCCTGGCTTTAGGAGCTTTCTCCGGCGGTTATCTCAGCAATAGGTTCGGCAGGAAGGCTGTGCTCTATTCTTTGGTCGCTTTGTGCGGTGTCACGAATTTCATTTCCGTGTTCTCAACGTCCATAGTCATGTTCGGAGCCATTCGATTCTTCATCGGTCTCAGCGTTGGTGGAATGTTGTGTATCTGTCAGGTGTACCCCATGGAGTTTGTCACGGCCAAGTGGCGGCCGTTTATTGCCGGCTTTCCTGCTTCCTCTACAGCGAACATCGCCCTCGGCGTTCTCATGTTACTCACCAAGGACTGGAGATATATTCATCTGGCCACGGCACTCGTTTCTGCTCTGGGGTTTTTGACCATTTTCTGGATGCCGGAAAGCATGAGGTGGCTGGCAGTTCAGAACAAAATCGCCCAAGCATATGCAGTGGGTCGTAAGATTTGTAAATACAACAGAAGACCTCCACCAGAAGAACCAATGGAGTTCCTAGCAGAAACAGAAGTGGTAAAACGGACAGATGGACCAGGAATCAGAGAACTATTTGGACGGCGATTCTTTATGAAAACTGTTTTTGGGTTCACCATATTTTTTACTTTATCTTTGGTTTACTATTCCATCGGTTTTGGAGTTAAGGTTTTATTTGGGAACTTCTATGTCAATTTCATCTTATTTGCAGTTTTCACAATCCCACCCTTTCCTTTCGTTCCAATAATTGGGAACAGATTCGGCAGACGCAAATCGACAGCTTCCTATTTTTGCGCGGCGTGTGTTATTTCGACTGTTTTATTCCTTCTTCACTTTACTGTGGGGTTGGAGACCTTGGGCATGGGTGTGACCATAACTTCACTGGCTATCGTGACCACGATGGAACTCGCCTGGAGCACCATGATCGCCTTCACCTCTGAGCTCTTCCCGACCTATATCCGCGCCCTGGGTTCAGGAGTGGTGTTCACTGGTGCGCGTGCCGGCGGCATCGTGTCTCCCTATCTGATCCCGGACAACCCTGAGTCTCTGTACGTGGCCTACATAGTGATCGCCGCCTGTACCGCTGTCTGCTCCGCGCTGACCCTTGGGCTTCCTGAGACGAGACACAGGCAACTTGGCGACACGCCGGACGGGGAACTGACCGGTCCAGTGGACACAGACGGACAGACGGAAAAACTGACCGTTGTACTGGACAATGATGGACGGAAAAACTGACCGATCTACAGGGCACAGACGGACAGACGGAAAAACTGACCGTTCTACTGGACATAGACAGACGGAAAAACTGACATTTCTTCTGGACATAGACGGACGAAAAAACTGACCCTTCTATTGGACACATACAGACAGACGGAAAAACTGACCGTTCTACTGGACACAGACAGACAGACGGAAAAACTGATCGTTGTACTGGACAATGATGGACGAAAGAACTGACCATTCTCCTGGACACAGATGGAAGGACGGAAAAGCTGTCCGGTCAACTGGACGCAGACGGACGGAAAAATTGACCGTTGTACTGGACACAGACGGACGGACGGAAAAGCATACTGTTCTATTGGACCCAAACGGACAGAAAAACTGACCGTTCTACTGGACACAGACGACCTGACGACACGGTGAACGAAAAAACTGACCATTCGGCTGGGCACACATAATAATTTAACATCAAAATTAGACAAAAAAGACGTCGGGCAGTCAGTGTCACTGGTAATTCCCCTTTCTTCACTCAGGTCTGAGAGCAAGAACAATTTAGGAAGGACAGCCAAAACTGAGACTCGATACAGATAATGTGTAAAGCGCCCACTCTCGCACAACACGAGGTACTTATATTTATTGTTTACTGAATGATTGATATATTAATTTATATAGCAAGGCATCGTGGTGAAATCAGGCGCTTGTCAAAATAACAAAATTGGAGATACAACCATTTTCCTACCAGTTTCGCAATTTTAATCATTTTAAAAAATTGTTTGTTCAACCACTTTATGTCCAAATAAACACGCATTTTCATGTGAATTATAGTGAAAAAATGTTGATTTAATGCTCAAAATATGCAATTTTTCAGTTTTCAAGGACTCTTTAGCTATTAAAGTTACTAAACTTTGGCGGCCATTTTCTCGCTATTTTTACCACTGAAACCAAGTAAACTTACTCTTTCATTCACACATATTATTATTATCTTCACTTATGCTCAAGATATTTGGGTACTTTTTCCATCAGAAGCAAGATAAATGAACAAGCTTTAAGATGATACCAATAACTTCACATGCCCAAAAATTGACGAACCCCTGATTTCACCGCGTCGTGACACAAATATTGATCTATATTTTTAAAATCATTTATGTATTGGGCGGAGGGTAATTATTTGTAAGCACAAATAGACTCAAATTCAACTCCATTTTGTATCTAGAAATGTGACTCCAGCTCAACCATTTGTTTTTAGCGTGCTAACTTACTGAAAGTAGAAACATATCGTGCCCTGCAAACTGCGTGGGTACACCTTGCAGACGGTTCTGGATTGAAATCGTAACGCTTAACGAGGTATTCTTGAAGCTGGTAGTATATCGACAGTTGTAAAAGATTTTCTTTCTTCTGGGATCAGTTGTGATGGAGTCAGTCAAAGTCTTCAATGAATTCACGATGACACAAACCTGCATACTTAGAGGTGTCATCCCTGACTCAGAGGTTGACGTGTAATGACCCTCCAGTTTTGGAAAGTTTGGTTTGTGTTTTTAAGTTTCAGTTTCACTCTCCGTGATTCAGATCAATTGAAGTCATTGCACTTCACGTCATAGGTGTAAGACATTTTTAATTGATATCATTTTTAATCTCGCAAAGTTAGTTCATCTCTTCTTCGGGAAATAAAAAAAAACAGGATGTACAAGCATCGTATCTCGTCAAAAGGAAGCCTTGTTTTAAAGAAGTAGAACATTTTGTAAGTAAGTTTTGTTTTGAAGGCGAGCTCATAAATGAAAACAAAAAATCACATACAAGGGCAGCAACCAATGAAGGCAGGGGCGGCTCATGGGTCTAAAAAATGGGCGTGTACAATTAGGTTAAAGCAGGTTGAAGATAGTCAAGGGCATGGTAACTTAGATGTTTTCTCCATCCTACCTGTTTTGAGAAAATCTATTTGAAGAAGAAGTTTTCCTTTCGTTCTTTTCCTGGAACAAAAGCGTCCATTATTCTGTGGACGAAGTTGGGCATGCTGTCAATGATGTCCTTGTGGATCGACATAAACGTCAGTGCGATTTCTGGTATTTTGCATACTTCTCTAAATGTTGTCTCGAATTTGTTGTCCTTCAAAGTTGAATAAAGGCCCTGGATTATACGACACTGAGCAGATTTACGTATTTCATTGCAATGTAATACTTATAATTCTGTTTGTAATTTGATTTTAAGCAAAACTGTAATATTTCTGTAAACGATCCTAAAAAAACTGTTGGAAACGACTTCTGATAGTCCTGGAATTTGGAGGAATCGCAGATAGAGAGTGCGTTGTACGTAGATTTTATTTTGCTTCAAGAAACTGTCACAATTTGAGAAACTATTATTTCACAGGCCTGCTTTGCAGCAATTTCGTTGGTGTTGTAATGTCTGCGTCTCTTGGAAGCATGTGTGTCTGTGGTCTGTCTTGTTTCTAATTTCATCGACAGCTACGTGACGTGGCAAAGTCCTGCCAGAACATCACATTCAACCCGGAGGCGTCAACGCTCATCTCTGAGTGGGGTCTCATCTGTGACAAACGTGTCTTGAACTTGTTAGGCTGCTATGGGCGTTGTACATCTGTGTTAGAGAATCCCATAAACAGCATCAACGCGCGTGAACACTTTGTTGAAAAAGTGCAAAAAGAAGAGAAAATGTTTCGCTCTTTAATAATACATTCAGGATACCATCGTGGATGGAATTATCGTCCCAGTGCTCAGACTGAATTTCTTCAAGACAGAGCTGGATCTCTCCTTTCCAAATGTAGACTGCGCTAATTAGTCGAGACTGTAAATTCCACCTTGTTTCAGACAGCCATGGAATATTCCGGTGACAAACGCAGATGCATTTTGTAGAGTGGACAAAAAATGTCGAAGAGTCTGCGAAAATACCTCTGTTCCCCGACAAATCACCCTTTTCACGCCCGCGAAGGGCGAGTTCGTGAGTTTCACAGAACTGAATACACTAGATAACCTTATACGGGGTGCCCACTACAGCTGGATCGGGCCAATCGCCCGACTCGATCGCCTGAAACTGAAAATAAACACGTTTGTTTTTTAGGCTTTCGAGTCGGACGATCCGCAGTGGGCACCCCGTATTACACAATACGTGCATGTTCTTTCTCACCAGTTCGTTATAGTGAGACGTTGCAATGCGATGACCTACGACTAGCTGCTATGTCTACTTGTCAGAAAGTATGATACTTAACGGCATTTTTTACGTGCGCTCTTGATGACTTTTGACTTTAATGCGTTGTTTCACATGGACAAGATCAGTAAAACTTGTCTTAGACTTCTTGGGGTCCTCGGTTCCCAAAAGCAGACAGAAGAAACAGTAGATCTAGACCTAATCTAGATCTAGATCTAGGTCTACAAGGAGTATAATTTGCTAACGCTGACTGTAAGCCACTCCACTTTTTATTCATTGTATTATTTTGATATTTTTGAGTTGGTGACGACTTAATTCATTCACTCTCTTCTTGTTACTTTGTTTGGTGAACTGAATTTATTTGCAATCAACTTCATTCATCCAGCATAGGAATACACACTCGAGTAATAAAACTTTCACCACTATACCATTCCAACGTTTAACGCAATGACCTAATTACGTCATGTTGACCTCGCTCAATTCCAGGGTTACAGAGGTGGGGCAAGAGATATAAATGGCAAGAGAAAGGACCAATCGCAAATCGCTGGGAGCATTCCGGTGGATTGCTCCAAAGCTATCATAATACGGGCATTGAATTGTGTAGGCTATCGTGAACTGGTTTGAGATCGCGTTATTTTTAGACTGCTCTATGGGCTTTGTTCGGCTGGTGCACATTGAGATTGTGCCGCCTTATTAGTATTTATGAACTAAGAAACTCGGTCAAAACGTCATCGTTGATTGGGTCGTCCCATAGAGCATTTTCCGAGAGAGATTACGCCACTGAACATACTATTTTTTACTTGGGTGAAGATAAAGAACTTGGTATGGTATAGTATGTGTTGTAGAGTTGTTGTAGATGTTGTAATGAACGAATAGGTTCTGGCGAGGAACTTGCACGGAAAATTGATTGGATGGTCGATTGCAAAGGTTCTTTTTTTTGTCACTTTGTGGGTGTTGTGCGCTAAAATTTTTGGGCAGCAGTACACGACCGTGCTCTATGGACGAGGTGCCCCTGAATGAAGTGAAAGAACTGATTGTTATTATCAATCCAATAAGCTGTACAAGGATTACATCCGATGCCTCAGATATGACTACACATATTCCTAATGTTACCATTGCCACACCACTGAATGACCTCTTTGTTTTAGACTCTCAATAATCTCAAGCGAATGTCGGTGACATGGGGCTTAAACAGATAGTCACGGGGGTGTTTCTTTGAGCAAAACACCCCAAACCTAACTAGAATATTTTTATAAACACAAAAAACATCAAACTACGTAAACCACACCAAACCAAACCAAACCAAAACAAACCAAAATACTGACGCGACCAGCAATGTCAAATAATTTGTAAAATTGTCTGCATTGGTGTTATATTGTGTATTATGTTCTACCAACTAATTATTATTATGTATAATGTATTATGTATATATAAATCATTTTGTGTAATTTGTGTTGAAGTATGCATTATATTGGTTGTATATTTGCGATTGCAGCCAAGATTTCCCAACGAAAGAAAAAAAAAGTGCAATGTATTCATCATCTAATTATTTAAATAAAACCATGTACAAAATAAACTGCTTCGACCCTGCTCATAAGAGGCAAAACACTGTTCTGGAACACTTTAAAAAATAGAAGCTTATCTTCGTTGTTCGTACTAGATTTTGCTTTTTTTTCTCTACACGTACTTTAAAAAAGGCTTCTATGAATGTATGCAAATTCTTATTCCTGATGTGTATATTGTGGTTCTTAATAAATGTGCTGTAGCTGCACCTTTGGTATACTGCTGTTTGGATAGAATAATTCTGTGTATCTGCTAGTCCTTAAAGATGTAAAATTCTGCACTTATATGACCTGATGGGGTTGCAAGTGCCGTAAAACGCTTATTGAAACAATAACAACAAACAACAACAACAACAATAACAACAGTAACAACAACAACAACAACAACAACAGTAAAAATTTAAAAAATAAAAAAAACTCAAAAAGTAGTTGAATGAGGTTTATTGTGCCCAGTGTTACTATGTCCAATATCAAACCATCAAAATGCTTAGAGGCAGTACAGCAACACGGTTACTGTAGTAGTCGTAGAGATTAATCAATATAAAAAACCATCCCTATTTATTTCAAATAATATCCATAAGTCACACACACATACACACACACACGCACGCACACACACACACACACACACACGCGCGCGCGCGCGCACACACACACACACACACACACACACGCACGCACACACATACATACATACACACACACACACACACACACACACACATACACACACACACACACACACACACGCATATGCACACACACGCACACACACACACACACACATACACACACACACACACACACACACACACACATGGGCATGCATTGAAGTCAGATGTACTCACACATTTTGAATTGAAGTGCACACGAACACACTCCAAATAATCATTTGCTGTGCTTAAAACAATATTTAAAGAATATTTTAATCAAACATTTATACCATCTCTTGTGCGTTGGTTTGTTGTTTGTTTTTTTGTCACTGTCATGGCAAATCTTGTCTTAGCTGAGAGTTTGCCTCAAACACCATACAATAACGATAATCATATATTTTGTTTTAATAAATGTTTTACGGCGCTCACAACTGCATACGGTCATAATAATTATTATGACCGCAAGGGACACGTTAGGTTTAACTTTTTCTTTCCAATTATTATTAACCCTATCCGTACGTCGTGCTTATCTATCGTGTCCATACGACGTGGGGAACTCTGTGCCACCACTTTACAAAGAGGAAATTTACTCGTTAATCCGAAGGGTACGCTTTGCATAGCAGTCTGTCAAAATGGGTTTTTAAAAAAAAGAAATACTGAAAGTTTCAAAGAGATCTTCATACCAGAAGTATTCTAAAATGTGAAGAATACAACCCCGGGGGTACAAAATGACCCCCAGGGCGTACAGATAGGGTTAAGCAGCATGTTTCTGAATGAACGCCTTCAGCACATCTGCCGCCGCGTGGATATCGTCCATGTCGTTGTAGATCTGCACTGAGTACCGGAAGTAGAAGTCTCCTTCCACCGCTGAGAGGATACCAAAGACTTTGGTGTTGCCAAATATCGCCTCCATCAGGCTCCAAGTGTTTTCCTTAAAAAATCAAGAATTGGTTACATTTTAGTTTTAGTTTTAATGAGAGTTTTTGAGGCGCTTGCAACACAATAAGATCATATAGGAGCCGAAGATTAGAGGTGTTACAAGAGAGTAATAAATACAAAAAAGAAGAGATATGAAGGCGATAGACGTTTGATAGGAGAGAAGGAGCAAACAGCACCAGAGCACCCACGGACCACCCACGTAATCAATTTCTAAAGGGGCATGCGCAGAAATCCCCACGGCCAGAACACGGAACATGCGCAGAAGCCGCAGGCTAATCGACCGAATTCGTTCGCCCGGAACATGCGCAGAAACCCCCACGGGCCAATAGCGTCAGGCTAATCGACCGAATTCGTTCGAGTATCAAAACACTAGCCACTCGAGATCGGGCAACTAGCCACTACGTAAAGTTTTCTCCTCACTTGGGAATGGAACTTGAATCTTCCATGAGCGACCAGGGCCAACTGGTGATGAGAGAGATACAACATCCCAACAAAAAGGCCGAGATGCTCAACAAAAAGTTTCTTCCCACTCGGGAGTCGAACTCGGGTCTCCTTCGAAGGACTGCAAAGCGCCTAAACGCAACAATACAGACTACCCCATTGTGTGCAAATTATTTTGTTAACTACTCACAGAGCTTTACGGGATTACAGAAAAAAACAACCTAAAAATAGAACAGACGCCATTTACCCGTTCTTCAGGCCTTGCTAAAACCATTCTACAAGGTACTGTGCAAGGAGGACGAAGAAGAGGCAGACAGAAGAAGAGATGGGAGGATATCATCCGAGAATGGACAGCCACGAAGCTGCAGGAACCCACTCAGAAAAACAGAGAGCCGAGAGGAGTGGAGGAGATTTTGTTGTCTATCTGTCAGAGGCGATCTTAAAGAATGACAAATCTACAGGGAGCAGCAGAAGAAGAAAAATAGGAAGAAACGGATTAACTCTTTATCTCCGGCAAGCCGCTCGCAGCGGCTCGCGGTCGGAACCACACTTTTATCGGGATCTCATTCATTAGATAAAAGACTTTTAAAATAGGTTCACTTGTTTAGATTTAATTACCAATTTAGTGAAGATTTTGTCATTTTTAGATTTAGTTTTAAAAAAAGGGGGCCGCGGCATAGTAGGTTCACCCCCCTCGGAGATAAAGAGATAATGATTCAGAGTGAGTCCTCACATCGCGGCACGGGAAGTCTCGGAACGGTGGAAGTTTTAACATCTTCATGTTGGGAGCCTCCATGCTGGCTGGCATGTCCAGGTGAGTCAAGCCTAGCTCTGTCTCAAACAGCTGTCTTGCCTTCTCTGCCAGCTCGCTCGTATAGCCAACTATCTTTTCCTGGCGGTCGAGAAAACAAAAACTATGATAATAATAATAATGATAATAATAATAATAATAATAATAATAATAATCATAATAATCATAATAATAATCATAATAATAATAATAATGATAATAATAATAATAATAATAATAATAATAATAATAATAATAATAATAATAATATTAATATAATATTATTTATTATTACTATTGTTATAGCGTTAATATTAATAATGATATTGATAATAATTATAAAAATAGTAATAATAATAGTATGATAATAACTATAATGATAATGATTATGATTATAATCATAGTAATGACAATAAAAGAGTAATAACAACAACAGAAACAACAACAATAATAACAATCATCATCATCATCATCATCATCATCATCATCATCATCATCATCATCATCATCACAATAGCAGTAATAATAATAATAATGATAATAATATTTATATGGCGCACATCCACGCTTTGCAGCATACTCTAGGCATGTTACGACTACATGTATCATTACTCCAGCAGACCCTGGAATACACAGAAACATTCTCAGCCTCACGGGAAGCATACAGTACAAGCTGCGGATTTCCCGAGCTCAGACACTAACAAACTGACAAGATCTTTCACTGTCTATGGCCGTGTGACCATTTCCACCTGAGTGAAATGGGAACAATTCGTGTGAAGTTCCTTTCCCAAGGACTCAATATTGGGTTCCGGGCGGGATTCGAACCCACTGCCTTACGTTTGCGAGTCCGAGAGCCTAACCACCATGCACTTCTACCTCTGACGATAAGATATCTAAGAGGGTCGCCATGTTTAATGTGACGTCATAAATGCATGCATAGCTAGCACTTTTGTAAGGACGCCACTGACGCGCGACTAATGATTATAAGCTCTATGCGCTTCACAATCTATACATTTACCCCAGCAGACCTGAACTGAGAGCATTCTGAAACAACCTGAACTTCCTTGGAAGCATACAGTGAAAGCGGCGATTTCTAGGTGCTAGAACACTAACATACTGACGAGATCTTTCGTTGTCTATGGCCGGGTACCCATTCCCACCTGGGTGAAGTGAGGAAAATTCGTGTAAAGTGCCTTTCCCAAGGACACAACGTCGGGCCTGAGGCTTGAGCTCACGAACCCACAACCTCACGCTTACGAGTCCGGTAGCCTAACCACTCTGCCACCGACTACATGAAAGAACTCACCACACCCCCAAGTGCTTTGTAGAACTGGATGGCGTTTCTGGCGCAGTAGAAAGGAAGGAGGTCACGGGTTCCGAGCTCAAAGAACTCCATGTCCTGGGAGCCTCCTAAGTGCCATGACGTCACCAGAGGATGTAGCCAGGTGTGTTCTGGAGCACAGTAAAACAGGGCGGAACCTCGAGGGGTAAAACACCATTTGTACAGGTTTGCTAGAGGAAAAACAAGAAAAACGGGGGGAAAATCCAGCTTGTGTTATTGCCTTGGGGGGAAACTTTGTTTAAAATGGCGTAACAAGTATATTGTACATACACACATACACATGGTACGGTAATGGAAAGACTGAGGGTAGCTGGTGTCTCAAGAGGGCGGGGAGAGACAGCAACCAGCGTGGAAAAGCCAGAAGAATATCCAACCAGCTCATAACTAGCACTATCAGCAAGCCAACCCTTTCTGGATCCAGGAGAAGAGAAGAGCAGCTATGGTACTGTACCACCTGCGATAATACCTATTTTCCTACCAAATAACGGGAACCAGGTGACTAAATAACATACATACTTTACTTTTACTTTTACTTTTCCGATCAAGCGGCCATTTGGGTTCTAGCCCTTCGGTCTGAAATAACATACATACGGTACATAAATAGATTGGTACGGAACTTACACCTCTTCATCTAAATATATCAATATGTGCAGATACTATAAAGATGTTAAACAAGAGAGACTGAAGCACAGGCCCATATTATCCTACCTATTTCTACGAATAAGCAACAAGGCAAACTATAAATGTATCTCCTAAAACTTCCTTTGTAAACCTCACGATTACGAGTCAGATAGCCTTACCACTAGACTACCACGCCATAATAATATAATAATATTGTCTTACAGACGAATGAATAGGATTGATTTACGCCATGACTAAAGTGTAATTTTATAATTCAGCTTCTTGATGTTTTTGTTTCTTATCGTTCCTTCTGTTGTCAATGACAATGACGGTGATGATGGGTATAATTCTTGGCAAAGCCCAGTAGAGCGCAACGTAGAACTTATTTTATTGTGTGGCTTATTAAAAAAACACTCCTCTTCACACGTTTTTCGTTTTTCTTTATTATCTTGCTTACAACAATGCTGCTGCTGCTGCTGCTGCTGATGATGATGATGATGATGATGATGATGATGATGATGATGACAAAGATGATGATAATGATGATAATGATGACTATGATGATAATGATGACGATTATTGTGATGATAATGGTAATGTGCGCGCGCGCGCTCGCGTGTGTGTGTGTGTGTGT